CAGACTGACTGTTCACCCCCCGGGGATCAGGGTGAGGGACCTCCAGGAACATTCTTAGGATCTTGGCTTGTGACTCAAAGCAGCTCACAGCTCTGTAACTAGGCCAACAGCATCAGATGATATTTTAAGCCTTAAAAAACCCACAGCAGCATGCTTGGCATGTCCCTTGCCCAGCAGTCAGACTGCCAAAAGATTTACTCTCCAAATCTAATAATAGTACCTAGCTTCCAACCAGAGGGAACACACACACTATTTTAAGGCATTTGGGCCCCCAGAGCAAGCAGCCATAAACTTTGTCAGCTGATTTCTTAAGGGAGCACCAAGCAAGTCCCAGGAGGGCAGTTAGAGGGGCCTGGGGCGTCTGGGCTTTTAAAACACAGAAAGGGCAGAACAGCCAGACCCTCCTCACACTCCAGCCAGGGTTTTCTAGGGCGGTGGGCTCTGCAGAATTAGGGTGGGAGAAATGCCTCCTTCAGGCAAAGGGCCAAACCCTCCACTCTGCATCCTTAGTAGCTCTCCCAGGATGAGTGGCAGGTGGGACAGGGGTGTGCAAATACCCTTGTGCTTCCAAATACACATGGAGGCTGGGTTGGCACAGAGCGCTCAGCTCTAATTCCTGGCTGGTCTTAGTAGAATCCTAGCCAACTGTGGCTTCTATAGCAAGCCGTGGTTATGTGACTAGGGTAAAGTATGGGGTCTGAACCAAATCACAGCTTCACTTTTGTTCCCTTGGAGAGAGAAGCTGAGCCGAGCTCTGGATCAATATTTGGAGGAGCCAGAGACAGTTGGCAAATCCAGGGAAGACCATCTTGCCTAACAAAAATGCCAGAGCTAGGTGGCACCCTCAAGTCTAACTCGTTTATTATGGCATAATCTTCTGGGGATAGCAGTCCCCACCATTATAGTGGTGTTATTCTTAAGTCCTGCCAATCGCTCCATTGCCTTGGCAGGGACAAGCCGACAAATCAGCCAGCCTCTTGGAAGAGGTGCTGCAAGGAGGCATTTCCTATTTCTCGGAGTTCAGTTTAGAGTCAAGGAAGAGGAAGAACAAAGGCGAATTGCTTGATATCCATACCTGGGAAAATCCTAGAAAAGATCATCAGTATGGGACGGATGGTCCCACCACTCAGAGGTCCTGCAGCCAGGCGCACTACCACACCCAACGCGTGGTCCAGCACGAAGCTCTATCAACGTGGAGGGAGATGCCCAGTGGGGAACCCCAGGACTCTGCTCTGGCTCCGGGGCTCCTCAACACCTTCATAAACGACTCAGATGAGGGGACGGAAGGGGTGCTTGGCAAATTGGCAGATGACGCATAGGTATGTGTGTGGGTGCTGACACCTCAGAAGGTCAAGGGTCAGAAGGATCTTGACAGACATAAATAATGGGCCCTATCCAACAAGGTGCAATTCGATGGTGAGAAATGTAGGATTCTGCACTTAGATAGGAAAAACCAGGCTCACAGTTACAAGATGGGTGGTACTTGGCTCAGCAGCGGTCCTCGTGAGAAGTATCTGGGTGTCCTGCTAGGCCACAGATTAAGCGTGAGCCGGCAGGGAGCTGCAGCTGCCAAGGGAGCTAACACAACATCTTCATAAATGATTTAGATGAGGGAATAGAAGAGATGCTCATAAAATTTGCAGATGACACAGATTTGGGGGGAATTACTAATAGTCTAGAAGACAGGCTCAAGATTCAAGAAGACCTTGCTAGACTTGAACATTGGGCCCTATCCATCAAAATGTCCAATGGTGAGAAATGGGCGGGGGGGTGGTCTCCAATGTCCTTTCTAATCCTGTGATTCTATGGATCCCCAATTTTAGGCAGGGATTCCCTTGGAGGCCAAAGCCCATATCCTCTTCTCACTGCCTCCCCATTTTGGATTGGCTCGCACATTGTGCTGGACCCAAAGTCAGCAGGCGTGCTACAGCGTGAGGTACAAACTCTCCCTCCACCTTCCGACCCTCCTCTCCAGGGCTGGCCCTGCCCACAAAGAAAAAGAGGGCCGCTCTTCTTCTTCCTCAGCTGCTGACCAAAGACCCAACCTCTGGAGGGAAAGAGGCAGGATGTGCCCCAGGGGTTACCTTGGCAGAGGCTGGGCAGAAGGGCTTGCCAGGAACCCTCGTGCCCTGCGCGAGGGATGAGGTCCGCCGGAAGGCATCTCCGCCCATCACTGGAGTGACCTCTAATGTTCCCCAGATACCAGATTCAGGACGGTTAAAGTAAGGAGCGGGTGGGCATTCCAATGGCATGCGCCAGTCGAAGTATGTGGCAAGAGGTCATAATGTCATGGATGTGTTCTGGTCGCATTGCACGTGATACCGTGCGAAGTCTGGCTGATTTTCACTCTGGTCATATCCTGGTGGATTGGATCGGATGCTTTACGGCTCCTAAAGTTATACGAGCCAGGAAACGGTATTTCAGTCACCAGGCTAAGGGTGTTGTGTGAACGCGGCCCGTCTCCGAGCCGCTCTTGGCTCCCAGGGCTGGCGGGAGACTGGCGCTTTGGGAGCACCGGAGACAGAGCAGCAGCTGCTTGCTCTCGTATCTTCAGCCAGCAAAGCTTTGAACTGCATGCTGGGTTAATTTCGCTGCTCCACAAAAAGCTGAATTTTTCCCCATGACTAAAAGTAGCTGAATAAAAATAATTAGGGGGGAAAACCTGAAGGCACTTCAAAGGGTCATCCTGTACAGTTCCTTAGAAGCACGTTTTGCTCTCGGGGACTCCTGGATTGACTTTGGGGTGGAAACATGCAGAGGGGTGTTTGGGGTGGTTTGGATTTTATTTTATTTTCAAACATGTCAGAAGATCTTTTTGTGAGAATGTTTGTAATTATTTGGAGATGTGACAAATAAATAAGACACTTCCCTTATATTATTTAATTTTTTAAAAGCTCAACATTATAAATACATTAGCCTCAGCAAGCCTGAATTGCTGTGTGCATAAATATATGGGCATTAAAAAAATTACAACACTGGATTTAGATTTGACTAGCATAATATCTCTTTGGTTCCCTAATCCTGGCTGATATTAATTTCCATAACCATCTTATGCAATAATTTTTGATGAAGCAATATCGTTCTAAAAATTAAATAGAAATACTTGCAGAAAAAAGGTACCTTAGCAGAGGAGGATTGTGGGACAAGCGTTCTGGCAAGCTTCCACCCTACAGCAGGCCCCCCCAGGGACGGCCCCCCAAAGAAGGGCCCTGGGCAGGATGGCCGCTCTAGGATTTTGTGGCCCTGCTGATCAGAAGCGCAGGGAGGCCAGAGAGCTTTGCTGAGAGCCGAAGGGGGCTTGGCCAGCTGAGCAGCTGCCAGGGACCCTGCCCGCGGCAGCAGGGGTTCCTCCCGAGCAGGCATGGCATCTCTGGCCCAGATGAACACGTCCCCCCGCCAGCCGCCCTGCCCGTCCGCCCTTGCTCCCT